ACATTTCCACGGCAGGGGAGACAGTCGGCAAGAGAAAAACAGCATAGCACCAGTCAAACATCAAGGAGACAGAGGACGTGGAGAGAGTAGCAAAAGAAAAGGCTACATGTCTGTGAAAAGAAGGGGATTGAGGCTCAAGTGAGGCCTCTTAGATGAAGAAAAAAACATCCTTTCTGCGTTTCAGACACTTTGTGACTGAGAAGCATTAAGCTATTCATCGTGTTATTTATGTCACGAAGAAGGGGGGGGGGGGGAAGAATAAAGAGATTGTGTGGGAGAAGGGAGAATATTTTAGTTTTTAGAGGGTTGATGTCAATCTTTCCTTCCACTGAAAGCGATCCATCAGCAGATTACATAAATATGAGCCGTGAATGTTTCCATATGAAGACGCCCGTCACGTGTCTGGATGTATATAAGCAACTGGTGAGTGTTGCAGTGTTTGTTTGAAGCAACATACTGATGCTTCCATCCAACCACTACCAATCAACAGCATTGCACAATATGAACAGAGTGCTTTTTTCTTTTTGAGCATCTTTGTCAACCCACTCACATTAAAGCGTGGAGATATATCCGCTTTCTTTTTACCGCATCAAATATGTATCCATGCATCATTTTTAATTAACGGAATGTTTTAAATCATGGAACTCTAATTGAAATGTGAACCTATTACTCTAGTTGTCTCATTACTCCCACTTGCCCTCCCCCCCACCCCCGGGTGCATCTACTTGTAGCTGTGTGTGAGCTCATTGTTCAGGACGGAGGCAGCACGTGTCAGAACAAAAGATGTGAATGTCAACTCTTTTGTTTAGGGTTACTTTGGTTTGGGGGGGGATATGGAATGAAACAACTGCTGTCTCTGTGTGTGTGTGTGTGTGTGTGTGTGTGTAAAGTTTGCAGGAGACAGGATGATACTCCAGCCCTCTTTCCATCAGCAGAGGCTAAAAAAAAAGTGCTGATGATGTTTTTCACCCCCAACAACAAGTCGGGCTTCTGCTTAACAAATCACACTGGCAGCTGCACTCTCTTGTTGCATTATGTGGAGAGATGATTTGTAAATGGAGGGAGGTAACAGCTGCAGTAACATACCATATTGCAGAAGCAGGAGATTGCTAGTATGGAAAGGTGGATTTACAACGCTGCAATAAAAAAAAGGTACGCACTAAGTACAAGCCTCCCAGACAAAAAATAATCCATTTTGCTAAAGAGACACTTGATGTTCAGCAGTCAATCACACATCAACTCCAGAACCTCAGATATGTCTCCGCCACAACGGATCTACAGTCACGTTGCATGAACGCGAGTAAACAGGGAGCCGTATGGTGCATTTCAATCCACCTGATTTTATGCACGTTCTTAATTTGCACATCAAAAAAATCCCGAGCAGGCATGCAGGACTTTTTTTTTGTTTTTGTAATATCACAAAAAGGTTTTTACCTTTGACTGAGGTGGTTAAAAAAAAAAAAAAAAAAAAACGCAATGGAAACACACTCAACAGATTAATCGTTACGAACAGGAAGCATGTGACATATTTGTCATCGAGGCTTCCACTCCAATGTCGGCAGACGAAAACATCCATTCAGTGTGGAGCAATCAGGAGACTGTGACCTTCCTCAAATGAATAGATGAGAGAAACACAAAAGCCACATTTTCATCACATTTTCCACTTCCCTTTTTCTTTGCTTGGGCTTTGAATGTTGTCATGTCATTGCGTCCTCTTCTTCTGAAACTATTAACGGCAATCGACGTGAGAATTTGCACCACCAGCTGTTTTTCTTGCCGCAAACAGTATTTGCACAACAGTCGTGGATAGAAACTCGCCTTCAGTTGCATTTCCTTTTGCAGACTTTTCTAGAAAGTCGGTTGAAATTTGTACATTTGGATGTAAACTCGTCTATTGATATCAAGAGTGACTGTCTGTACAGAGCTGTTGCACTTCAGATGATCACACAGGTACTTCAGTAGCACGAGCTCTCACAAAACGCCTCCAAGCCACGGAAATTAAACAGGACAGACTAGAATATGTCAGCCATCGGAGTGGAAAATGTGTCCTCCGAGTTTAGAAGAGTGCCGACAAGTTTTGCATCACTTTCGAAATAATTATGTTAAATGTCGTTTCAGCTCTGGACCCGAGCAGGTGGAAAAAGACTGCAGTGCTTTTGTCGCTGGCTGCATCTTGCCATCGGTAAGAGAGAGAAAGTGTATATGTGCGAGGAATAACGAGGGGCAGGGAGGGAAAACAAAATGGGTACTTTACAGGTTGAGCTTGTGTGTGGGGGGGTGAGGAACATTTAGGGCTTACATTCATAATGTCAAATATGTTTCAAAATTGCGGTAAACATCAGTGAGAATTATTAATCCTGGATAAAGAAAAGCGTATGCCTTTTTTTAAGTTTAAGGTTCGTACAGTTTCTGTACATGACATTTTATATCTCAAAAGCGAGGCAGTACGAAACTAGTGTTTGTTTTCTCTCTGTGTGTGTGTGTGTGTGTGTGTGTCCATGTGTCCTCACTCAGACCTTTGTCCTTCTGGGTCCATTTGGCCTCTAACAACAGTCCCATCTTCCCACTGATAGAGACTATCAGTGGGAAGTGAGTGACAGTGTGTGTGCATCCTCATTACTAATTTCCACCCAAAGCTTGTTATTAATTCCGAGCCAAAGTTAATTATCTGATCAAGAGGTCTGTGTTTTAATCTTCACAGAGACAGAAGGAAGAACGATCCCAGCGCTGCTGTGTGTAAGTGAGTCATTTATCCTTTAGTTGGAAAGAGGAGGAGAGAGATTTGGCAGCTGTTGAGCCTCATCTATACCCTCCCCATCGGTTCGCTACAGAATTCCCGACTAGACGGAGAGAACAAGGGGGAGGATGATCCAGAGTGTGCTGGCACGGAGGACTGGGCCATTACGCAAGACACGGAAACCAGACATCTTGTTCACACTTGGTGAGACACAGATGTTCTGGAGTCAGACGAAGAGTCGCTACAAGCCCTCGGCCCCCGTCCTCCACGTTCGAGGCCGAGCTGCACCTGTTTGGAACCAGCGTCTTATAACGAGTCGACTATTTCTGATTGAGTCGAGGAACATGTTTGAGGATTCTGCCACCAGAAAAAAAAAAAAAAAACCTGCTTGGCATCGCTTCCCACGCATAGATCTGAGGTTAAGCATCTCTTACGTCCCAGAGAACAAAATCTCTGCGTTGAGTCGGAGAGGTGGAGTCCCCCGCTGTGGAAGAAGCTACCGCTCCTCTAATGGCCGGATGCCTGGCTCCCAGAAAACTAATATCTGGGGAAATCCCAAACTTCTCACCTGAAATACAAAGTCAACAACGGTTGTTTTACCTGCAAGAACTCAAGACTCTCAGGTGCGGACATTTTTTTTACTTCTTCTCTTAATGCTGCAAATCTAAGCTTCTAAACACCCTTCAGGAGACCGCGGGTGATGTGATGCACCCATGTGTTTGTTCAGTCTACAGTAGACGCCATACTGTAAGTCTACCCCTCCTCCAAGAAAGGGCATTCAGTGCCAGCGGATACGTCCGGACTCAGACCAGAAGCAGTTGACAGATTCATGTTCCTGCCACAGAGTATGTGAAGTCATGCATGGTCGCCGTGTTCCTGTTTACAGCAGCTATTGATTGGAATGAACATATTGGAGGAGGGGGGGGGGGAGTCTCATTGTAAAAGAGCCCATTGTTTTTTTTAAGCCACAAAACACCTACCTCATGTAGCAGTATACATTGGGAACCAGCCAGAGAAAAAATGGCCGCCGTGTCAATGATTTGTATCAAGTTAATATTAGCATATGTCTCCATTCTTCGCTCTGTGATGCTAACTAGTGAGGCGAAATGAGATCTAGAAAAACAAGACTTCTGACACCACAAAGTCACCCTAAGCAGCCGTAAGCCCGACACAGTGCCGACCAGAAATAGCTTGATGGAGAATAAAGAGTAGTCTTCACAGGAGCACAGCAGCGTGCAGCCTACACAGCAGTCAGGTACTTTCAAAAAAAAAAAAACCTGCTGTTCAACAGCTATAAAGAAACCCAGTTGTGATCCTCTAATCCTCAAACACAGGCCTATTATTTTTACAGAAATGTTGCCTCGACATCATTCTTCAGGAACTGAAATCAGTTCACTCCACAGCACTGAAACGTCCCGAATAATATCACAAAAGAAGACAGAGATTAAAAATAATAAGACACCCGGGCCTTCTGGTTGGTTCTGATTTGTCAAAGTGGCTCAGTGAGGCTCAGTCTTGCACCCCTGCATTAAGCCAATTATCCAGACACTGGCCCTGTTGTTATGCTGATGATGCCGAGCTTTACTCGTTGGAAAGCATAATTTTCTTTAACTTTATGACAGCTTACGTCTTACTCGTCCCTCCTGGGCTCACAAAGCTGATCCGGGACCTGTTAATAGTCAAGTCTCGATCCAGACTTTATACACAAAGTGTTTGATGTGTTTCCCCACAATAGATCTCTATACATCAACTCACAGAAGATCACATCTGCCCTGTATCATCCTCAGAGCACCGGAAGTCTCATTATTGATTTAAGGTGAGCTGGTTACGGGTCCCAAGGGTGCAGCAGGGGGACCTTTAACTCTAAAGGGAAAATTAGTGTCTACGTCTTAGAAATTAACTTCCTGAGGATTTCAGGAGAGGAAACCCAGAGTTTTGTTATTTCTTTGACAACACTGGAAGAAACTTTCAAAATAAAACGCCAGAAGAAGGAAATAAAGATGAATGCTATATGTATGTAACATACATTGTAATTATTGAGATCCCGCATCCTGCCATGATATTTCTATGATTATTCCCCTGTGATTTAGGATAAATTCTTAGCATTGAATGCTCTTAAAATTGCTTGTGGTTTTTACTGCACTCTGGGTTTTTTTGGGCAAGGAACAGGATGTAATCCTAATTGCACATCTCACTCAGCCATGCAACCACAGAAAACAAGTCCAGACAGCATTTGAAGGAGAGAGAAAAAGTCCAGACTCACCTTCCTCTGCAGAAGCCAGGAGAGTCCAGTCAAGGAAGACGCACCCCAGCAGCACAACGCTCCTGTATGTCAGCTCCATGGTGCTGGTACCAAAAGGTGAACAATTAACCTGTTCTCTGTTCTTCCGCTTTGTCTCCAATTAGAAATAAAGTGGCACGGCTGTGCACTCACTGGCCGCAAACCAGTCCGCATTTAAAGTGGACTTCAGTTCAGAGAGCCTCACACTGTGGTCAAAAACACTGCAGTAAACAAATAAATAAATAAAACAACACTTTGGCTAAGTGAAGTGTCAGTCGATAGTGACGTTTAACTGGTCGCACACAGACTGGAAACTTCTCTGAATTGCCCAACTTTGTGTTGTGATGAAAGTGTGGATATAAAAAAAACAACAACAGTCAGTGTTTCACCTCCTCTCCTAGCCTCCTCTGTCAGCACAGCTGGTGCATGGTCCAAACTTGTTGTGTCCTCGGCTTTAAAAAGCTCTTTGTGCTCCACGCGACTTCTCCCAATGTCTCCCCCTCGACTCGGTGACCGAGCACAGGCTGAATCCGCAACCAGGGCGCCTCACTGCATGCGTGTTAGTTGCGGAGATAATCCTCATCACCGGTCGGTTCACACCTACTTCCACATGTTCTCGTCATGTTTGGCAAAACAGTCCAACAAAAGTGTGCTGATGTTGTTGTTTTTCTTCCCGTTAAAGCACCAGACAGACTATTTTGCTGCACCCGAAAGGTGGTGGGGGTACTGTGCAGACACGTCTAGCTCGGTCTGGATTAACAGGGGGAAAAAGACTGCAACTGGGGGTAAAATGTCTGGTTTGTTCTCTGGATAAATCCGCAGACTGCACGAACAGCGGACACTAAAAGTTGCGCGCTACAGTAGCTCGTAGGGAGGAGAACTGTGCGCTGGTCAACGAGGACTTCATCCCCGCATCGAACACCGAGTCGAATGGCATCAGCAAGCTCCGCCCACAGACTGTGGTTTCCATAGCAGCAGAGTCTAATACACGTGATGGCACACAGAGTTTCCTGTGAGCGCCTTCAAAATAAAAGCAGACACGTTTGGAAAGAAGCAAAAATAAATCCCAAATCAAGAATTGAGGGTGGCTCGGTACAGTTTCACTCTACTTTGCCAGCAATCTTTGTTTTTCAAATCCATGTGTTGTCTCACCTAAATGTAGCGGGTCTCTTGTTTGTTTCTTTCCCCATGAAGCATTAGGTTAGCTGTAAGCTTTTACTTTGACAACAGATTCACACTACTTTGGGTGTTTTTTAAACTATTTACGTGTGTCTTGACTCCAAAAAAACAATGAAGTCCGTCCTATCTACAAATAGCCTATTGGCATGCTGCCAACTGTCATCTGGATGAAATCTGTAGGTAGGTGTTGGTACAATCAGCCCAGACACTATCTCCGTCCAATATTGGCCCAATCCCATTCCGTACTGGGCATGATCAAATCCAAGTTGGTATGGAAAGCAATCCGATTGTGTACGCATTCCTAATGCTACACAAAATCAAGTTAATCTGTACTGAAATATGTTTGGTCCAACATACCCATGCCCTCCCCATGTAGGCAAATCCTATAGCCACAGAGCAGCACCACTGACTGATATAATGCAGGACTTCAAGGACACCTCTGCAGGGCTGATAACTTCTAGCACTGGGGATTTGAGCACTTGGCCTGCAGATATGGTCTCCAGTCGAGGTCAATTAAGCTGAAGTCTGCGAAATGCTGATAGACCAATAGGCCATCACCTGACTCACGATGCCACCCTGCAACCTGCTTTCTTGCAGTCTAATGGAAAAAAAGATTTGCATAATTAGCTCTGTTAGCATTATAAATGAGCTGCTATGCAGTTGTGCCACTCTCTGATTTTTTTTTTTTTAAAACGTGTATGTTTTATGACATCTCGCTTTTAAATGTGCATGTTTACCATCTGAACACAGCCTATTTTACTGAGAGCCATACCATTACCAATTCATTACTACATCAGTGTCACAGCGCAGCCTATTTTCTTATTTAATTAATGGGTGTTTTCCTCAAGGGGAACTGAGTGGAATCACTTTTTGAAGACGGTCTGCGGCATAAATAAGTGAAAATGCTAATTTTAAGTCTAAATGACAAAATGTAAATAAGATATCTGCACTTCAAGCTCACTAACAAGGCCAGACCAATGTTTAATGTTGGCAAGGCGAGGCCAGAGAACAAGAAACATTCTGGTTCTCTGGATTAAACTTGTCTTGTTAAGTCTTTTCTGTAAAGAATAATTGGGTGAAACACATACAATTGATCCAACCTATTGACATCGCCACAGGCTATGCTGTATCCCCGAGAATTATTGAAGAAGGAATATGAAAATGTACAAACATCACATGATGATGAGATCCGTGGCACAGAACTAATATCTCAACATCAGTTAAAGTATTTACTGTGAATGCTATCTTACAAGTAAGATCAAAAGATATAAACAGCACAGTTGGGACTTGTCCTTGACTTTTGTTTTGTTTGTAAGATAACGCATGCTGCTTTGGTTTTCCTTTTGCATTTGCATGATCAACTGCACTGCAAATATTGTGTAAGGCCACAAATTGTAATGAGTTAAATCAATTTTCTTCAAATTCCTCCGGACCCTGCTCACTTCTGCAAATACGACCTTTTCTTTTCCTTTTTGTCCCTTTGTTAATATGTTAGCCTACAGAAGTGGATAGCAACTCATCACAGCAAGCATAAGGGGTGTTCCAGTCACCTAAGCTGTCACATTCACTGATTGACGTGCATGGAATTCTTCTTCATAAGCTTTCACTTCTAGCACTGGCAAGCAGCAGTGGGAGCTTCAACGGGAAGTAATTCTGAAACAAACAAGTCAGAAATGTCCCTGAGAGGTTACATTTTTCTTTTTCACAGTAAGTCTATGATTTGTCTTGAGTGTAAGACAAAAGAGCTTCTGGATCAAAATGACCACCAACAGAAAACAAGGCTATTTGTCAGCTGTTTGTGTGCACACAATACTTATTTTTTAATACTTCCAATTTTTCTTGTCTGTTTTTTTGCAAAGGCTGTATTATCAGACACTTGACTGTCATCTCTGTTTTATTGATTTGACTTTGGTGATCCCCTGAATTTTTTGTTTATTGCCACCAGAAGGTCAAAGTTTTTACTGATGCAGTGAGATGTCTCACAATGGACTGACACCTCAGTTGGTATAAAAATTCATGGCTCCTAAATGTTCAATCCTGCTGATTGTAGTAGTCCCCTGACTCCTCCTCTAGCGCCACCATGTGGTTGACATTTGTGGATTGACATGAAATGTCTCAACTATTGGATGGACTGCCATGGCATGTGATACAGTCATTCATGTCCCCTTTTGACTTTTGTGATCCCTCTAGCGCCATCATCAGGTCAGCGTGTCAGTTTGTCCACTACTTTATCAGCAAATACTTTGTGTTTAGAGCTAATTAGCTAATGTTATCATGCTAACACACTAAAATAAGATGGCGAACATGATAAAGATATCTCTTAAAAACCAGCATGTTTGTTATTACATTGACTGTAGCATTTAGCCTGAGCTATAGCCAGTGTTGCATTAGTGTTTGTCCAGGTATTCTTTACACATTGCATAGAAAGGTGGCCCTTTAAAAGTAACAACACAATGAAAAGTTAACTGAATATTTTTGCATCATTGGACTCCCAACAACTGAATGGTCATAATGGCACAATGCATGCAGTGAGCTAAACAGATAAAACGTATTTAACAGTGCACTACTTGCACACCAGGAACAACTAGTAAAAAAGATATGTAAATAGTTTTTTTGTCAAGCCTCTTGTGGAACAATGCAGGAGCTCTTTTCTGGACTCACAACAGAATCACCAGATAGGCATTTTCATTTCTGATTCTGTTCTCGCAAATAAAGCACTGCCCCCCATGTCCCCCAAAGTCTTTATGTTTGCATTATGTTTCTTCTGTAAATGTGTATTCGATATTATTTCAGGAGGCACCTGGGTGTGTCATCCAAAGCATTTTAAAATTCCAACGCTTGCACATTCCTATATGCCATCGTCCCAATATTAGGATTATATGTCATCATTGCTACTACAAAATGAAAGTGTGCATTTGGCCCAGGTGACATAGTAAGCCTTCATGGGCTAAGCTCTGCCCTTGCAGATGCAGCTCATAAAATGAAACCACAAGGCTGTGTTTTAAAATCCCTGTCGTTCTCCTGGTTGGTGAAACCTCACTGAGCAAGGAACAAAATCTGTGTCACTTTGTATTCGTTTCAAGGTTGTTGAATATTAAATGCAGAGGGTAATATTCCTTTGAAGCCAACGTGCCATGCTTTAATTAGTGGAATGGGCATAGAGTTGACATTTTTGAACAGACGTAAGCATGCCAAAACACTCCTCACAATCCGTTTCATTCTCACATTATTTCACTATGCTCTGCAGGTATGGCTACAATGAGGTGTGTTTTATTTTTTTCTCGACAGATTATCTTAATAAGCCTTTAGGAGTGAGAAAAAGGCAGAAGAACCCATTAGGTTTAATCCAACTGAAGTCTGAGAGCTCTGGCACAAAACCACATGGAGTCTTTGTTATCTTAAACTTAAGAAGGCAGCTCGTTTCAAGCAGCACAAAGCAGTGTCTTACAAACCCTGCACCACACCCTGCGCACACCGATCTGAGGATGAATCATCTGATCTCTGGGCAGTCAGTGTGATACGTGGTAGAGGAGCATCGAAGCAGCCAAAGTGACATCATCCGGAGCACAAGACATAAACAAGCTCAAGTTGTCCTACACAAACACTTTGATGGGTACCAGCTGGGGCCTCATGGGTGGAGGGGCAAAAAAAATAAGAGGGGACGAAGCATCGGCGAGGAGCATACGTGGCAGGCTGAAATGAATAATAAAATATGAACATGGAAAGGATCTGTGTTTGATCCTCTACTTCAGGCTGTAGCTGTCATGTTGTAATGAAGGTAACAAATGCTGCTGACAACCTCTTGTACAGCCAACGTGTTTGGTAGACAGATTGAAATGTCTTTGTGAAGTCTGTGGCTAACCGTTCCTGTTGCAGTTTTGGACACTCCTTCATAGAAACATTCCTGCTGCTCAATCATCTTGCAACCGAGAGGATTACCATGACCAAAGAATTATATCTGAGTGAAAGAGTACAGGCACCCCCATCAAGGTGTAGAGACATATGTGGACCTATTCACCGGAAGCTTGCCACTCATTATAAATACATATTTTCACCTCAGCACTTATTGCGATAAACCTGAAGTCCTAGGGTGTGTATACGGCAAGGTGGGCGACAAGTAAAGGTTCAGGCTTTGAGTTGTGTGATGGCTTGCGTTGTACTAAAATGCTTTCCTGCTTTCCCGTGCAGAGGCATACGTATATGAGCAGTTTTGAGGTTGCTTTGAATGCTTGAGATAGACCCCATTCTTCTGTGTCCTACCACACGTGTTCTTTCATCCAAATCCAGCCCTGTCACTGCAGCTCTGGACACCAGCAGTATAGGACTGACTTGCAACGCATAATGACTATCACCTTGATCACACTAAAGAGTTCCGGGATCCAACATTTGGCAATTATACCGCTAATTTCAATCCAACGGCTTCCTCGTTTTCATCGTGTGTGGAGTGAAATTTGAATTACTGGCTTGATTATTCCATTTGGAGGCATTCATTCCTTGTTCCTCCTTAGTTTATAATGACTGTCCTCCCTGGCAGTGAAACAGGATGTTGGAAAGGGATCGTGCGTACATCTGTGACATACAGGGTTTCAAGATTTCCCAAAATATGAATTGCTTTAATGATTAAAAAGAGAGTTTATCCAGTGAGTCAGTTACTTAATTAGGAGGAAAATTCAAGTTCTAAATTTGAAGTAACCACATTACTTTGGCGAATTTTTCAATAATCCATCTGTGAGGCATCTGTCTTGCTCGAGCATCCAACTGTGCATTCTC